CCCCGATATTTTGCTGCACATGAGGTGACAAATGTGCACAGCGAGCCCACCCAACTACCTTTCATGACAAATGGATCCATAAAACTACGACCAAGTGTTGGGTGCACAGAATAATAGCCAACCCAAAACAAAAAACAAAAAACAAAAAAGGGTGTGTGTACAAGGAGCACATGCTACACGTTGGCTGCTTTTTCTTGGGAAGATTTCTGTCTGAAAGGACACAAGATTATTCACCAATGAAATAAAAGACCCAAATTGGTTCCCTTTTGTGAGAAACACAATTTCTGTCTCTTCATGATATAATAATGTGAACGTGAAATCTTTGCAAAGGTTTGCTACAATTCATTTTTGACAAAGCTGGAATTGTCATACCAGTAACCAAAGTGATGCCTTCGTCCTTGTCTGTGCTTTAACTTTACAGGAAGGGTTACAGGTATTCTGATTCTTGATTTAAAAAATAAAAACATCAGGTACCCTCTTTGCTATTCAATATTCGGTTCCATTTCAAATCAATCACTGGTAAAAACCAAAAACAAAACTCTATTTAATAAGTCATATCAAAAGAAAAGTATTGTACCGAATATGTTAAACTTATCTTATCTGTATGAACTGCATGGTGTGCCCAAGATTTGAATGCACGAAATGGTTTGCCTTTCCTTTTTCCTAAGGCCTACTTGACAGAAACTTTCATTAAGTGAGAATGACACTATTTTACTGTTCATAATCAATAACGCTCTAATACGCCTGATAATAACAAAATGATGTTAGTTTTTCTCCTATTAGCATGCCAACTATGATTCTTTGACATGTTCACAAGTCACAACAAGTATTACCAACCCAAGAAAAAACATAAAGGCTGAAAATGAAATCCACATTTTGTTGTCGGCCTATATAGCCCACATGAGTCGTGACATGTACTAATTTTGTGCTCTTATTCGATCATAATAGCAGTGAATGGTATTGATGCATAATGTTAAGTTAGTGTCAATTGCATATGGACAAGTGACATTATCATAAGCGTTTATAATTTATCAACAGTTGTGCTAGTGTTATACGCTCAAACGCAATTCACGCTAAGCATAAATCTTTATGCCTGATGATAATGATGATGATGATGATGATGATTAAGTGTGTGGGTGTGAAGCCGGGGTGGGGCAGTCACGGTCTTTGACAGCTTCATTTGGACCCCATTGCCACTCATGTCATTTTACCAGAATCTGTTTTCTCTGCTTGGTTGCAGTCTTAATGACGCCCATGATATGACATTATTATTATCACCAAACTATTAAAGGTCATTGTTGAATGAACACTGGTTTTATGCCATCATCTGCAAGAAAGTTCAGTAAAAAATATACAGCATTTGGATTTTGTTATTAGGAGTGTGGTTCTAAATGTGAATGGTAACAATTAAAAATTGTTGGAGGAGATTTTTAGACTACGACTTAGAATAAAAGTTCCATTATTGTCTTCTCTTTTTATCATCTCTTCAAAAAGTAAAAATAAAAACCTCAACAACAAAATTGGTTCTCCTAATTAACATTAGGAGGTTGACCAAAATGACCATGGTAGAGAAAAAGCATTGAACTTGTCTTGAAATGGATAAACACTTACATGAAACGGAGATGATATTATTTTGTTATTCTCGGCCAATCATGACATGTCACATGTGATAATTTTTTCACGTAATAATCTGTGATTGACGGAAAATAGCAAAACAATATTGATCTGTGCTATACGAGTTTCAATGCTAAATCACATGTATGTTAATTTGTTCTCAGAAACGTCGTACTCCATTGTAGGGTGGGGTCTTAAATCCATGATGCTATTCCAAAATTGAGAAAAAAACGAGACAAGAAAGATATTTGTTTGTGGAAGAATAATATCTCAAGAGAAAGAAATACCACAAATCCAAATATTTTAAATTTCTGGTCAAATATTTCTTTAATACCCAATTTTCACACGAACACAAGTAAGTGATGCACATGTGTCACATATTTACATTTTATATCATAGTTTCGTTTGTTGTTTATTGAGAATCAGTTCAGTTGAGTTCAAGTTCAGGTGGAAAGCTATTTTGCCTGGTGGTTGAGGCAAGCTTCTTTGTCACTGGCTTAGCTTGCCATCTTTTGGTTTGACGTGTATTGATCATAGCCACTATATTTGTAAGTTAATCTACATGATACACAAAATATTAAGTAGCCCAATAGCGACTGTTTTTTGAGCTATAAAAAGAAGAAGTTGGAAGAAGAATTGATTCTTTACTTGGTGCTTGGAAGACTGTTTTGAGCTTTGAGGTTCTCTTTTTTGGTTCATTGTTGTTCGGCCTTTAAACTGTTGAAAGCTTTTATCCAAGTTCGGCCCTTCAGGTAAATTAACTAGAAATGCTATCTTCCACTCAAAATCCGAGCTTCTTGTGGACCTCTTTATCATTTAATACTTGTTTCGTTTTTTGGCTGTCTCTTTTTCACTTTTCTCAATCTCTTGCATATGCTTGCCTCACCAACTTGTTCATATGGTTAAATATTTTATTGGTTGGAAATTCAGATTCCTGGCTTGATTTGGTAATCATAGTAGTTGGTACACTGATAGCCGTACAAATTAGGATTTTCCAAGTAAAACCCATGTTGAAACTTCTTCTTATGGTTCCCAAGTGAGTATCAAATTCTGGAATCCAAGGTTGCCAAGCCAATATTAAACACTCTATGTGGATTTCAATTGGATATTTACTGCGGAATCTCAGTGTTCGAGGTAAATCTTTGAATCTGAAGTATTTTCTGAGAATTTTGGGACCCATGTTGGTCTGACTATAAACTTTATTTATTTTTATTATCTTTTTATATTTATTTTTTGCAGTCTTCAATATGTGATAACTCACTTGTGGTGGTCATCTTCCATCTGCCATTCTTTACAGGTCTTTGCCATTTTGTTCAATGCTGGTGGAACTTAGTTCAAGCTGAAGAATCAACAAGTTCTTTCTATACAGGCAATTGTAGACCTCTGTAGACATGGAGATCTTGTGGATTAATAGGCCTACCCATGTATGCAAGACAAGGGCACTACTTGCTTTGATCTTGCTCATGTGGGTGCCCGTGGAAGTGATGGCTGGGACTGAAAATGCCACCCATTTGTCTACAAGGCCAAGTTCTCTGAATATTGGAGCTCTGTTTACATTGAATTCAGTTATTGGAAGGGCCGCCAAACCCGCAATTTATGCAGCAATTGATGATGTTAATTCTGATCCGAGGATTCTTCCCGGGACAAAATTGAACGTTATTCTCCATGATACAAATTGCAGTGGATTTCTTGGAACTGTTGAAGGTAATTCCTGAAACTCCCTTCTAAGAGTACACATGGAATTAGAACCCGTTCTTTTCTGCGTGAACTAAGTTGCAAATTTCCTTTAATTTTGGGAGTAAAAAAACCAAACTGCTATTAATTCTTGATAAGAAGACAGGTTTTAGAGAATATATTTATTCTCAAGTACTTCATTTTTATCAAATTAGTGGCCTTTAATGTTGAATTTGATTTTCTGTTCTGTTGCACTTTTGAGAGTCCAGAATTCTGGCATTGTATGCCTTTTAAAAAATCAAAATTTTGACTTGCATAATTCCAATTTTGTTGCTGCAGATTATAATGTTGATAGGATATCTTGAGTCTCTGTCTACTCTACTTCATGTTTGTACATTTTATTGTTTAGTTCCATTTTGATGTTTTATTGCTAAGTAAGAATGCTAAACGATTGCAGTCTTGAAAATGCAAGGCCAAAATAAGCCATTCTGATCCTTGTTTGAGGATAAGTGATATGATTTCTAAAGGTGTCCTCCATGTATATGTATTATGATCGGTAAATGACTTGTTTTGTATGATTCTTCCTGTTTGAGTGCCATAGTTTGTAAAAGTTTCTTGATGTTCTGTTCATCCACGCCATTGATTTTATTGCTCGAATTTTATGGACGTCAATATGTCCTTGCATCGACATGAAGCTAAAGATATCTAAATTTTATTTCTTAAAGAGCTATATATCAAATAGGACTTTCTTTAAGTTGACCCCAGGCCTGAATAATGCATAATTGGCCATCTAACCTCTTGCCAATAATATTCAACACCTTTGAGTGATAATCTGCACTTTCATAATGGTGGATTAAAGTCTTGGATGAGAAAATAAAAAACCAGGATTGCAAGCATACTTGTAATCCTTGCCTTGCTTTCTTTCTTAAAACTAAAAAGTAACACTGATGTCTTTCTCCATGCAGCGTTGCAGCTGATTGAAAATGATGTGGTTGCTGCAATTGGCCCACAATCCTCTGGAATAGCTCATGTCATATCCCATGTTGTGAATGAGCTCCATGTACCGCTTCTGTCATTTGCTGCAACAGACCCCTCCCTTGCTGCTCTGCAGTACCCGTATTTTGTTCGCACCACACAGAGTGACCATTTCCAAATGTATGCAGTTGCTGATGTAGTTGAGTATTTTGGATGGAGAGAAGTAATTGCAATCTTTGTGGATGATGATTGCGGCAGAAATGGGGTTTCTATACTGGGTGATGCCTTAGCAAAGAAGCGTTCCAAGATCTCATACAAGGCTGCCTTCTCTCCTGGAGCCTCCAAAAACACAATCACTGAGTTGTTGGTGGGAGTAAACCTGATGGAATCTCGGGTTTTTGTTGTGCATGTTAATCCTGATTCTGGTTTGACAATTTTTTCTGTTGCCAAGTCTCTTGGAATGATGACCGCTGGCTATGTTTGGATTGCAACAGATTGGCTTCCTTCTCATCTAGATTCATTAGAACCACCTGGCCTTGATACAATGAATCTTGTACAAGGGGTTGTTGCTCTTCGTCATCATACCCCAGATACAGATCTCAAAAAGAGTTTTATGTCGAGATGGAAGAAACTAAAACATGAAGGGAGTTCGGGCTTCAATTCTTATGCGCTCTATGCATATGACTCCATTTGGTTAGCAGCTCGTGCTCTTGAAGTTTTTTTCAACGAAGGTGGGAAGATATCTTTCTCTAATGACCCAAAGTTGAAAGACACAAATAGAAGCACATTGCACTTAACATCACTCCGTATATTTGATGGAGGCCAACAATATCTACAGACAATTCTTAAGATGAACTTCACAGGTGTAAGTGGTCAGATTCAGTTTGATCAGGATAAATATTTAGTTCATCCAGCATATGAAATTCTAAATATTGGCGGAACTGGGTCCCGTAGGATTGGTTTTTGGTCAAATTCTACTGGTCTCTCAGTAATTGCTCCAGAGATTTTATATAAAAAGCCATTCAGTGCTAATACCTCCGCTCAACTTTATAGCGTTATATGGCCTGGTGAAACTACAGCTATACCTCGGGGATGGGTATTTCCCAACAATGGGACGCCTCTCAGAATTGCCGTGCCTTACCGAGTAAGTTACCAAGATTTTGTGGCTAAGGACAAGAGCCCTCCAGGGGTTAGAGGATATTGTATTGATGTCTTTGAAGCTGCTGTAAACTTGTTGCCTTATGCCGTGCCACGCAATTACGTGTTGTATGGAAATGGAAAGAGGAATCCTGAGTACAGCAATCTTGTATTTGAGGTTGCGCAAAATGTGAGTATCTAGGTGTAAGTTTTATCTCTTTAATTAGAGGTGAACAAACTCACCTTTATATATGGTTTGTCTGATTAGGATTAAATTTAGATGCTAAATGATTTTTAACTTGTGCATGTGTATCACAGTTGTTATTCATTTCCTCTTAAGGGGCTGTCTGAAGTACATTATCAAACAATATGATGGGCTTGGCTTGGGGCTTCTGTATTGCTGTCTTGGTGTTTAAATTATGGCCAATTTTTTTATTGGGTCCTTTCCTTTTTTCTTTTGCAGAACTTTGATGCAGCTGTTGGGGATGTTACGATTACTACTAATAGGACAAGAATAGTTGATTTTACACAGCCTTACATGGAATCAGGGCTTGTTGTTGTTGTTCCTGTCAAAGAGCAAAAAACAAGCCCTTGGGCTTTCCTGAAGCCATTTACTTATCAGATGTGGTTGGTCACTGGTGCCTTCTTCCTGTTTGTGGGAGCTGTTGTTTGGATTCTTGAGCACCGGATGAATCAAGAATTCCGTGGTCCACCGAGGAAGCAACTCATGACTATTTTTTGGTTAGTATGTTTTACATTGTTAAGGCCACTAATCTGTTGACTAGGAATTCACTTACTGGCATTGTTTCATAAATGGAAGAGTACTTTTACTGAAACTGCTTTTGCTTTTGCTTTGCAGGTTTAGTTTCTCAACAATGTTTTTCTCACACAGTATGTTTTTCATGCTTAATCTTCCTTTGGTATCATGAAGGTAATTCGCATTATTAACTCCAAACATCCTTTGCTAATTGGACTTGGCGCAGGAGAGAACACTGTGAGCACCCTGGGACGGCTGGTGCTGATTATATGGTTGTTTGTGGTCTTAATTATCAATTCGAGCTACACAGCTAGTTTGACATCAATCCTCACGGTGCAGCAGTTGACATCACGAATTGAAGGGATTGACAGCTTGATAGCAAGTAACGATCCAATTGGAGTTCAAGATGGGTCATTTGCATGGAAGTACTTGGTTGATGAGCTCAACATTGCGGAATCTAGACTCGTCAAGTTAAAAACCATGGAAAACTACATTGAAGCCCTTCAGTATGGACCGAAACGTGGTGGGGTAGCTGCCATTGTTGATGAGCTTCCTTACATTGAGCTGTTTATGTCCAACACCAAATGTAAATTCAGGACGGTGGGGCAGGAGTTTACAAAAAGCGGATGGGGATTTGTAAGTACCATTGTTGATGTTGATCTTAAATCACACTGCATTCCTTATTTTCCTCATGGATACCTCAGAGACAGGAAAGGTGGCATTATGCTTAAATGTAGTCATGTGAATGAAAACAATAATTCTCATATTCAGTTTCCTTGTCTCAGGCATTCCAAAGGGATTCTCCTCTTGCTGTTGACTTGTCAACCGCCATTCTTCAACTCTCAGAGAACGGCGATCTCCAAAAGATCCATAATAAATGGCTTACGCATAACGAATGTTCTATTCAAATGAATGAAGTTGATTCAGACCGGCTCTCTCTGACAAGCTTTTGGGGCCTGTTTCTTATCTGTGGCGTTGCATGCTTCCTTTCTCTTACGGTGTTCTTCTGCAGAATCCTTTGCCAATACCGCAGATTTATCCCGGCAGCCGTGGAAGGGGATGTGGAGGAGATTGGATCTGGCTCCACGAGATCTCGACCCTCGATCCGATCAGCTAGTTTCAAGAACCTCATGGACTTCGTAGATACGAAAGAAGAAAAGATCAAGCACATGCTTAAGCGAAAAGGAAGTGATAGCAAACATGATGAAGCTAGTCCTAGCTCTGATGGGCCGCTCCATTCACCCTCTTAAGGAAGATTTGCTCTCTGCATTCAGCTGGTAATCACACTGTTAATAAAAAAATTTATGTATCTAATATCCTTGTGCCAAAAGTTAATTAGGTATATAGAATAACATTACATGGTTTAGAAAAACAGAAGGAAAAAAGAAAATTATGAGAAGATCCTTTTGCTAGTTGTAGACCATTTTGTATTGAACAATAATGCTCCTACTCCTTATTTTAACTGATGAATGACAGAGTTCCACCAATTGTAGATGATTCCTTTCCACCATATTCAAGTGAAATTAACAGCCCTTGACCCCAAGTTAACTACTTGTTCAAGTGATGTGGTGTTTTATACAAAAACTTGTTAATAGGAGTGTAACCATTCATTATATGAGATTTTTTATTTTGTTAAGTTTTAAATGTGGGACTTTTTGAATTCTTCAACAGTTTGGACTAACAAAATAGACGAACACGGTATTTCAAAAAAGGATTATTATAACAACTATCTAATTGAGTGGTCAGCTATTTTTAAATTCAAGTGAAATACAATGCGTAGTGGGCCTTACAAGTGGGTTTGAGGACGTCTCACCTAAAACATTGAGAATGAGTCGAAGTCTACCTTATTCAATTGAGGTTGAAATGTGTGGTATGATTATAGTAGTTGTATATAATATTATTATCTTAAATGCTACGACGACCTACCTTATGCATTGGACCACTGGCAGATCTACAGAGGCGCAAGGAGGTGCAGCTGCACCTTCCTTCGCCGGAAAAAGCTTTGGAGGTGCCTGAAAATGCCCCTCTGCTAATGCCCACAGCAGCTATGGTATGTAAGCTCTATGAGGCGCCGTCAATGGCTTATTCCTCTCGAAGAAGAAGACCCAACCCTGACTCAACTTTTGTTTTCCTCTAGGTTTTAAGTGAACGACGTCGGATTGAGATGCGTGGGTTTTTTTTAATGAAACGATGTGTTTCGTGTAGTCTGGTTTCATACAATAAAGACACCACCATTTGGTTTGTAAAATCCCCAAAACTCTGCCTTATAATTTAATTCCATATAATCTCTACCATTTTCATTCACCCAATAGAATCACTGCACTTAGCATCTATTTTAATGTTTGGAACCTTGCCACTACTAAAGTCATTTAATGAAATCACAATTTATGACCACAAAATATATATATTATTATTACTGATTTGGCTCTCTTTGTATTTTGTATGATTAATACAATAGCACATGAATAGATGATCAATTCCGATTTATTTGTTTAATTGATAATTTGATATGCATTTCAATTAGATTAATTGAAATTAATTTTTTTAGATTTTTTTTATTTAGATTAATCTTTGTTAGATTCTAAAGGTATTTGGTTGTTTAATTATTTAATTATTTTTATGTTTTTAGTCTTTTATTTATTGCCCCTTCCCTGAAAAATTTCTAAATCCGCCACTGCATGGGACAAGCCACAATTGATAGTTTTATTCCATCTCGTTACTACCAAACAGTGTGACAAATAGTATATTTCAAATAACAAATATGGAATACTATATGGATCACATATTTTATCAATGCAAAGCCAACCAACAATTTTTTTTGTTTTTTTTAGCATAATTCATTAGGGAGGGAGTTTATACAAATATTCACTGGTGTTTCGGGATTTCAAACCTCTACCTATATAAATAAAATAAAATAAAACTCATTCAACTGGGCTTTATCCGATTCGACCTTTTTTATTTTATATAATTACATATTCACAGAACACTTTATGCAGTTAGGTTGAGTTGTAAATTAATTTTTTTTTTTTCGGTTGGAAAATATATTTATTGAGAAATATCATAAGAGTTACGTTAAGTAAAGCTCAACCCAAACGAAAAATATTATTTAATCCAATTGAAGTCGACGTGTGAAGACAAAACAAACATGGTATCAATGTCTGAAACCATTGATGGACAACGTGTATGTGTGGCGCCCACGTTAATTTAGACTTGGAGGGAGGGAGCGGGGAGGCTCATTATCCTTATAATCCTTTTTTATTACTACTTAATTAGACACGTGGATCAAACTGATTTGCATTTGGCTTCTTTATTGATTATAACTTTAGTTCAAATTAGTTGGTCCAAGTATGTCTATGTGTCATTCATATGATTGAAGCTATGCCTTGGAAATATTCTAGAATGGTCGGTTACTAAACTACATAATTATCCAAAATCGCATTAGGTGCGTAATTTACAAGGAAGAAAAACAGAATTCGGTGCAAAGCAACAACTGTTTGGTGTCAATCAAACATCACCCAACACACGCAAACCTGCCAAAGTAAAACCTGAAGAAATTGATTTTCTCCTCAGATATTTCCCATTTTAGATATGTGTTTTTTTACTTCTTCAGCAGTCGAAATTACAGGGAGGAGGATTTCTCATCCACAAACAAGATATTATGGAGATTCAAGTTGTTTTTAGTAACCAAGAAAGGAAATTTCCCAACTCATTTTTCAGTCTGATGCAATGTTTTAATATGAACTTTTTCAGTGAAATTAATGAAATAAACAAACTCACAAGAAAATTTATTTGTGTAACGATAAATTTATGTCAGCATATAACGCGGCGTTACTGTCACACAAGATCATCACACACCACTTATATAAAACCCGAAAATACGTGTAGCAATGAAAGACGGCAATCAGGAGTATTTGGTCCACACTATCACCGGTCAACTGTCCCGTTAAAGTAGTCACATTGATAGCAAAAGGTAGTTGTAACTGAAAAAGAAGCGACAAAGCAAAAGAAAAAAAGAAAAAAGAAAATGAGAACACAATGCAAAGCATATTCTAAAAATACCCACCAGTCATGAAAATATGAGAGCAACAGAAGTAGCTTTTCATTTTCCATGGCCTTTACAGAACAAGAGCCTTTCACTTGCTGTTGAGGCCATCCCCCCTACCTTCACCATAACCATAACCATAACCATCCGTTCAAAGAAACCAAAAAAAATTCAGCTTCAAGATTGATTGACTGTTGTTCAAGCTTTCTAGCTTCGCCGATCGATCATTTATATATTTATCTATAGTCGAGAGATTAAGAAAATGGTGCACCACCACTTCACCCTCAGGCGAAGAGTTAAACGCCGCGTTACGTTGCTCCGCCGCTGCATTAAACGTGTCATGGATCGGCTGCTCATGTCTTGCCTAGGAAAGCCGGTCCGGTACCGGGTGTTGCCAGTTTCCGCCGTTATGTCCCCGAATCAAACCCCTTCTTCCACTTTCGCGCCGTCATCGTCATCGTCTCCGAAATCAAGGGAGCTCCTCTCTCGTCCTCACCATCAAAACAACAGTACTAGCCGTCGTCAAAACCCTGAATCCAAGGACGATTTGGTAGCCTTGAAGATTAGCCTCTTGGGGGACAGCCAAATTGGAAAGACTAGCTTTTTGGTAATTAATTTACCAAACTTGGTATTGGTACATGGTACGAACTCGTATATCATACGAACACATATAAAAAATGTGTCCGTGTGTCTCGCTATACAATTTCGTACCATGTAACATTCTCATTCTTCTTTTTAATTTTCATGTGCTAATTAGATTTGCTTGATCAGGTAAAGTATGTAGGGGATGATGATGAGAAGGAAGGAGGAGGAGAGACAGAGGCGACAGGATTAAATTTGATGGACAAGACATTGATGGTCAGCGGTGCGCGTATTTCCTATAGTATTTGGGAAGTTGGAGGTATACAAATATTAATTGTAATCTCATGATTTTATTTACGATTTAATTTTTGAGTTAGTTTACATAAATATGTTTTAATTTTTGGTGCAGGTGATTTAAAATCCCAGGATAATATTCCGGTTGCTTGCAAGGACTCTGTAGCTATTTTGTTCATGTTTGATTTAACAAGCCGGTGTACGCTAAATAGGTGTGTTTGATGTTTCATTAGACTAATGTTGTTTCGATTAGCATTCTTAATCCTTTCGATAATTACATATGAACAAAAGTCTGAGGAATTTAATTTCTGGGATTGCAGTGTCATAACATGGTATCACCAAGCAAGGAAGTGGAATCAGGTAACTTTTCCACATAAAATGCGTCGAATTTTCTTCAAAGTTATGTTTTTATAATGATTACATCGTGTGTTAATCTTGTTTTATGGTTGTTTCGCAGGCGGCAATCCCAATATTAATTGGAACCAAGTTTGATGATTTCATCCAACTCCCCATTGATTTGCAATGGACAATTGCAAGTCAGGTAAGGTTATATGCTTTTAATAAACAAAATACAATACAATAGCATAATTTTACTCATCTCCAATTCTACTCATATATATATATATATATATATATATTTTTTTTTTTCTTTTGAGAGAAACTCGACAGTACGAGGGAAAAGCCCTACTCATGTTTAGGAATTCTCAATCCACTTAATCGTTCATACATATGTGTTTAGTGAAAGAACATCAAATTATTAGGGGCCTAAGCTAACTAGTAGGATGAGCTTGAAGTAATCTTTCTAGAATAATAAACACTGAAAAAAAGAGATCACGAGAATTTGGAGACATCCAGGTCAATGCTCAACAGAAAATGGAAGCTAGAAGAGCCTTCTATTCAAATTCAATCTGGGGTGGGGCACGAACACTAACCAACCAATTCAAAACTTTACGGAAAATTTTCAATGCAAAACTTAAATTGAACCACGGGTGGGCCAAGAAATCCTTTGAAAGAGTTTACTCTCCTCACAACTACTCTGGTAAAATATAGGCTCCTCCCCGGTCCCCCTGTTCACAATTCATCAAGATTTCACCTACTTTTGATTCAAAAACAATGGATTCAATACCCACCCATTTTCAGGAGAGTACGGAGTTTGAATTGTGATATGGTCGGTCGTCCACGATCGCGTGGATGATTTATGACAGTTGATATGACAGTCATAATGCATCGACTGACAGTAACATTCTTCTTTTCTGTTTAACACAAAACCACTTTAACTTATAGAATCTACCACTTCATCATCCAATGCATAACATCATTTGAGCAATTTGTGCTCCAGTTTAAGGATTTCAATTGGGAAAGCAAAATTATATTGAAGCTGAAGTTTGATATCTATGTCTAACTCTGTGTGCAGGCAAGAGCATATGCAAAGGCCCTCAACGCAACACTTTTCTTTTCGAGTGCAACTTACAACATAAACGTGAACAAAATCTTCAAATTCATAACGGCCAAGCTCTTCGACTTGCCATGGACCGTGGAGCGCAATCTCACCGTTGGAGAGCCTATTATTGATTTCTAGGGTTGTATTTCATAAATAGGAGGATCTCTCTTATCTCTCTAACCCCAAAAGAAGATACAAACAGTCAAACAGGTCGGTTCCTGCAGGCTGGGAGTTGTCATAGTCGTCGTCAGTCTGATAACAATTTGGGTTTCGTTTTTTCCATTTCATGAGTTTTCTTTTACTGGTTCTGTTTCATGACTTGGAGAACTGGAGAGGCGGACAGCCCACATCTCCATATATCAATAAAGTTTTGTTCATGAAAGTTGTGGAGGGAGTTCGAAAATGAAAGTAAAGAAAAAAATCATAAGTTTTGCTACAATTTCAGTCCATATCTAATGATCATGCAAATCAAAGTCCAGAGACAGTAGTGATGCATAGTTTTCTTTAACCTACAACAATGGCAGATAAAGCTCTCAACGCGTTTGAATGGGAGATCCAGTTATAGGGAAGTGAAAAACAACCATGACACTCATGTAATAGAAGATAACATTAAGTTGGTGGTTCAAATAGAAATCAAATAAGCTGCGGAGTTCAACTGTCGGTATAGTTAGAGCATATGAAGCCGTAATCTTAGTGGCACTCCAACATTATATTATTTAGACAATAGATAACAAAAATTGGAAATTTGAGACAAGCCAACCTAAAAACGAAATTGTTTACGAAGCCAAGGTGGTTTTACTCCAGTTTCACCTCTCTAGTTGGGGGATCCAGCTGCAAATATGTATATGGCTCTGTTGGTTCCTCCCTGCAGGACAGCACAAACACTTTAGAAAGGCAGCATAAGTGGTAGTGAATGATGTAACTGATACAGTATCACATAACATATAACTATATCTATGTAATTATATGTATAGAATGAATTGGGACAGCATTTCAAAGATCAGTCATACCCGGGCTTGGATCGCATGCACTGCCAGAAGAGCTTAAATGGCCCTGGAACTGTCTTAAATGGGTTGCCCTCAAAACAAGCCTACACAATACACAGGCAAGATCAACTGATAAAATTGGTAGGGAACACTAGTAATGTTGAGTTCAAAACATTCAAACCACTTAATCCTCTCTGGCAGATAACCAAAATAAGAAAATATTCAAGCCTTTTAACACAACTTTGGGGCAGTAGCTAAACAAGGCATCGAAAGTGGAAAGTTTTCAAAGTCACTACTAAAAAAAAAGCAAACTCTCCACGTCCTTTCTCAATCTGATCATCCCTTAGTATCACCAAAATCAAGCTTAAATCTAAAGACTTGATCATGGCACCTTCACATTGAAGACGAATCCTCTTCCCATTGAGCTTATTTTCCTCACTTCCACAAATCAACATCTGCAACGCCCACTCCCTAATCACTATGAGCTATGCGAGTGTTGTTTTAGATTGATTCTTGAGGAGGAAAAACAATGTGAATTATTAGGGAAAATAAGGTGAAAAAGGGTGTTCCATTTTACCATATATTATATAACTTACAAATATAAGTGCTATGCTTGCATTAGATAGCAGGTTTAATTTCAACTTTGACGGATGACCAAATTCAATTGAACTCAAACCCATCAAACGCTAGCAGGTGAAAGTGCTTGGTTAACTTCACTTCCTCATACCCAAAACCATCAAACCAATTAAACCCAAAACCCCATCTAAACATTTTAACCAATTCTTCAAAGAATTTGGTCAAGATAAAACTGAAAAATTCCAACCCAATTCTTGAATCTCATTCTTACGACAGAAATTTAAAGAATTTAATCAAGAACACTAACATTTGTGTATAAAAGATAGTTGAATATCTCATATAAGCATCAGAGATGTGAATTCAGAAAAGAAAAGCACACAGAGGGTTTTGTGTTACTTGGATGACGTCCTCGGCTCGGTCATTGCAGCGATGGGCCTTAGGTTCACGATGATCTCCCTCTGGCCTCCCCCATGGGCTCTCTCTCCTTGGCACTGGTCGAGTCTCGCTCATCGTGAAGGTAATGCAGTTCAACTTCAAGCTTCAGGCTTTGCTCTTTCGTCCCAATTCTATAATGAACATTGATAAAACGGCGTCGTGTCGCACGTAAGAGAGTGTTTTCCTTTTCTTGGGAAAGTGCTCTCCAAATAAAAGTATCAAATAGTAAATAACACGATTACGTTAGCAAATAGTCCTATTGGGAAAAAGAAAAACAAAAAAAGTCCTATTCTATTGATATCATCACTATGAGACCTCTTGATGTGATTTTATATGTGCAGTAACACTCTACGTGATTTTATTTTATAAATTCACTTCTTTTTATTTTTTTCATTTTATAAATTGATATGCTAACTACTCTAATATATGGAATCAAGGATTAGGTAAAATAGGCAGACACACTATTTTAACTAATGGTATGAAATCGAGGATTGAAATTGTTTCCTAAACTTGAGTTCGTTGGCATGAAATTGACGCTACTCGTCTTTAATTTTTCTTTTTCCATTTCGTTAATTTTGGAATATGAGAATGTTTTTGCCAAGTACATTCCATAACCAAACATTTCGAATGTCCCAAACATGTCGCCTAATAAGAGTTGATGTCTGTGCGTGCGAGTGAGTCAAAACGTCCCCATATAAATTTCACCCAATGTTGATATTCAACGTCCCAAGATCCTCATTTTGCTACCATTCTCATTTCTCCCTGGCTAGCTATTTTCCATTCCTCGCAAACATAGCTAGGCCAAACCTCCAAACTTCACCAACAAAAAAATGGGTGTTCTTGTCAAGCTCATTGATGCATTGCTCTTCCTCTTGCTCCTGGCGATTGCTTTCGAAAAGCCATTGATCGAAGCACAAGCATGTCTCCCCGGCGACCTCTACCCCAACATTCTGGTGGACCTCCGGAACTGGTATGCCCGCGAGTCGGGCGACTATCTCATGACGGAGATGCCCGATTTCTATGTCGGGATCATGTGGGTTGAGCTTGTTTTTCAATGGCCTCTCGTGTTCATCAACCTTTATGGAATCTTGACTGGCAAACCTTGGTTCAACATCACGTGCTTGAGCTATGGCATCTCTCTTTTTACTTCTATGGTAATTCTTAAATCCTTTTTGATAGACGTGAGACTCATATTAGAGAAATGATATACAAAATAGTGGTTAGTTAAGATAATATATGTAACGGTTTCTCGACATGTTGTATACAATAAATCAAGATTCGTGTCAATTAATTAATCTCGCACTAATTGTTATTGTTTCTCTCCATTGTCTTGAATTTTCAGGTGCCTATATTTGCAGAATTGACGGGGTCAGGAAGGGCACCTGATAAGCTCTTGACTCTGTACTTTTCTTTCTTGAGTTTAGGTGTTTTGGCCATACTGCGTGGGCTGCTACCAACCTCATCAACCAAGTCTTCTGCAACCATTGGCAAGAGACCTGCTTCCGGTAGGAAGAAGAAAGTTTAAATTTTTACTCTGCAACTCAAAAGTTCTGTGATCTTGATGATCCATCTCATTGTGAGATCAACATTGTGATTGCTATTTGCCTAGATTGTGTCTAGTTCAGAAGATTTATATAATTGTATGGAGGAAACATATCTGGAGAACAAAATGTTCTGATTTTTGTAGAATGGTATGTTTGCCAAGAACAATTTATGAGATGCATTATTAGAGAAGAGTTTGACTATATTATATATGTGTCAAATTGTCCAACAATAATAAAAAATTTGTTGAAATTAACATGCATGATAGTGATGGATTATTAAACAAAGACCAACCTGTACAAACACGTATTTAAATATGGCAGTAGACTTCAGCCAACTAGCCTCCCAACATCTCCAAGATCCAGTTTTGCAATATCACACAGAGAAACAGAGCAAAACAGAGCAAAAACAGAGCCTCAAAAGGTCAAAACAAAAATGTGTGCTTTTGTGAAGACAATCGACGCCATACTCTTTGTGATGTTTGCCATAACGGCAGTGAACGCGGTGCTGATAGACTTCCAGTTGTGTCTGCCAGCTAGCTTCTTCCCAAGCTCGCTGGCGGAGCTCAAAAACTGGTACGTACGTGAGTTCGACGATTATCTTGGCAAAGAGAAGCCTCATTTCTTCGTTGGCCTCATCTGGGTTGAGCTCGTATTCCAGTGGCCTCTTCTGGTCGCCAACTTGTATGGGATTTGGGCTGCTAAACCCTGGTACAACACCACCTGCTTGGCCTATGGCGCCTCTTTCTTCACCACCATGGTAAACTTGTGTTTTTTTTTTCTAATGGTAAAAAGTCACATTTGATTCCTATAGTTTAATTTGGGCAATTTGATCGATGTAGTTTAATTTTGGAATTTTCATCCGAATTTGACAGAATTTATAACATGTCATTGAATTGGGAGGAATTTAAAACTCTAATGATAAAATTGACAGAATTGAAATTATAAGAACCAAAGTGGTAAAACTGAAAATTACACTGATCAAAGATGACTTTTCGCCTTTCTTCTTTTTTTATGATATGTCAAATTAGTTGAGATTTTAATCAAATTGATTTTGATTAATGTTACATATTTTTCTGGCTTATGGCTTGGTAAAAATTGCAGGGCGCTATATTAGCAGAGCTCATAGGGTCAGGCAAGGCATCTAATAAAATGTTAAAGTTGTACTGCCCTGCTATGGGGTTTGCTCTCCTGGCCATCCTGCGGGGGCTGCTCCCTCCTCCGTCCGCCACCACTTCTTCAACCAGTGGCGGAGGAACAACCAAAAGGGTGGGCCCTCCAAAGAATAAGAAGATGATTTAGAACTCAAATCTTTCATCAATTTTCCTTTTGTCACTTCTTTTTCCCTTGAGGGAGACACATTCCTCAAGCTTCTTGTTCAACCTTAGTGAACTTGTAACATTGTGTGAAAGGTTTTAAACGTTGATGGATTTATATGAAACGTTTTTTTATTGAGAGTAGCATAAGTATTGATGAAACTCTTGTCATGAATCATTGGAAGGTTTTGGGAATTGGATTCATCATCATTGTGTGACAATTGCAAAGGAATAGTTTACTTAGAAAAGACGACAATCGTTGATTGAAAAGAAAAAAATAATAATAATAAGAATATGTTTTAAAAAAAAAAAAATCAAAGTAAGAACTTAAGCAACAGTAATACAAATAGAGCTGCTCTATTGCTAAAAAGTGGCCTCATTAAAAACCTTGCCATAAAAACCCCCAGCGGAGGAAATCCGGTCAAGTAAAAAGAGTACCACAACATGACATTACATAAAAAAAACTATCCCCATGTGTATCTTTTTCAACATAAGAATATTGAAGTACAGGTGAAGGAGATTATCATCGATGGCAGTAACATAACTAAAATCTTCTAACTCAGACCCCAAAAAAAAAAAAAAAAAAACCTAAAATCTTCCAAGTAAACCGACAAAAAAAAGAAGAAACAACCAGTAGTTTTTTTTTAAAGTCTTTTTTTTCTTTTTTTTTTCTTTTTTTTTTTTCTGTTTCCGTGAAGATGCAAAACAAAATAATAAAAAAGACACACAAAAAAGAAAGAAAGAAAGAAAAAAAAAAAAAGGGCTCATCCTCTTGTATTCTGTCATGAAGACAGAAGTAGCTCAAATTTCGTTCCAGCAGTCGATCAAATCAGTCTTCCTTAGAATGTTTACGTCCATACTCAGCAACACTTGAAAGCCTTTGGCTTCCACTCTGTCTTCATGGCCGGGGCTGCTCGTCTTCCACTTAAACCACCATTAGAAGCATTATACACAACCGACCCACCATCAAACTCAACAGCATCATCATCGCCATATACGTTCTTTACTAGCAGGCTTTCCATGAATTCCTTCTCCTCCAAGGAAACCTGAGTTTGCGGGTTTGTCGTTGAGCCTGCAGAAACCGGAAGCCACCTTTGCCACTCATTACGTCGTCGTATCATGTGGCCATGCACTTCTACACGAGTTGAGCGCTGCATCAGAACATCAAGGATAAATGGCATGTTTGTGCACATTCTCTTGAGCTTGTTAAATTCAGCAACGTTGGATATCGGAACCCATCCTTTGTTATCCATCAGCGATCTCAAGAAATAATCCTTGCAAAGATTTTCATCACTGAAATAGTATTCCACTTGTTGAACAATTTTGTTCCTCAAAGTCTGCATGTTAAACTGCGGAAGACCTTGATCGAACACGAATGGTACCGGAGGAGGACCATAACAAAACCCAACACCATGATGCACAGGAATGTTGTTAAACCCTAATTGGTGATACTGAGGAGATTGCCAACTCCAATGGCCACCACCAGAAAAATTACTTGGCTCATAATATTGCGGTTGGTAAAATACTGGGTGATGCAGAGAAGCTTGAACAGGAACATGAGGCAGATGATGTAGCGGCGGTGGTTGATGGCAGTGAGGCGAGAGGGGTGAAAAAGGCTTCGCATCAGCAGAAAGCTTTGTGGCAGCGTAGGGCTTCATTGGCCTGCTTTTTGAGGTTTTTTTGAAGCTTCACAACAAGAGCAGAGAGGATGGCAAAGTTGAACGCATAGTTTGGGGTTCTTATAGGTTTAGTCTTTTGCCTAATTCTTATGGGAAATCTGCTTCTATTTCCTATTAGGATTCGTTCTTAACTTTCTTTTTCACAGTTTTTTTGACCTTTCCACCCCGCAACTTTGATTTCCTTTTTTTTTTTTTTGACCGAAAATTTCCTGTTCAAGTCAGGAGAAGATTTGACTGCACAAAACGACTCGAGTCCCCAAAAAAATGACAACAACAACAACAAAACGACTAGGCGTCTGCAAAGCAACCTAACATATTAAGAAACGACACGTCGTTCAGATTAGGAAATTTGACTTAAGATCACATTTTGCATACGTCTCCTTCCTCGCACACAAGGTTTCACAGAGCAAACGGAAAGCTCCATTGAAGCACATACAGAAACATCGTAAAGTAGGAAGCAAAAATATATATAACCTCAAGAATTCAAAATGGGTGCTTTGGTGAAGCTTGTTGACGCCACACTCTTCGTCTTCTTCGTCGTAATTGCGCTTGCAGCGCCCTTAATCGACGCGCAGACATGCCTGCCTCAGAGCCTCTTCCCAAGCGTGTTGGTTGAGCTCAAGAGCTGGTACGCGCGCCAATATGGCGATTATCTCGTGGCCCAGAAGCCCCATTTCTTTGTTGGGATCGTTTGGCTCGAGCTGCTCTTTCAGTGGCCTCTTTCAATTGCCAACCTGTACGGAATTTTGGCTGCCAAGTCTTGGTTCAACACCACCTGCTTGATCTATGGCGTTTCTGTGTTCACCTCCATGGTAAAGTTTGCTTCTTTCTTTTAATACATTGTTAACTTATAATCAATTTGTTGTTTTTGTTTGGTTTTATAACTTGGGTTTGTTAGATCTCTTTTCTTTTTCTCGTTTTCAATTGGGCTAATTTCTTATTTTCTTGTTATATATCTTCCCAAACCAGTAAATTTTATAGGATTTTGGATAGGTTAATTGTAGTATCAAATAAGAGGGTGGTTTAATAAGTCAAGCTGTTGGTTTTAGAGTGATTAAATTCATACATCTAAAAGTAAGAAGAAGCAAATGAAGTGAATAAGTGGGTGGTTGAAGGAGACACATTCGTCCTGATGCTTGTTTCAAATCCTGCAATGAGACTTTGTTACTTAAAAATTACAAATTGCCTGACAGAATTAGCCAGCTAAGAGAATTCTGAAAATATGTTACTTGGTTTATCTGTTAGAATCAATGAAATTCTACCAAACTGAATAATAGCTTGTTACTCCGATGATGGCATTTGGCCAATCTGGTTGTATAGTTGGAAACCCCCGCAACTCATCCAGTATGTTATCAGATTTTATCTGGTAAACGCTCATTTTAAGCTTGCATTGGATAAGAAACGAAACACTGCCGCAGTTGTGCAGGTGAGCAATATCTTAAGGCCACATGAATATTGTTGAACTGTTAATAATAACCCCTAAACACTGCCTAACTATGAACTAATGGTGTTGAGAATTGTAATTGGGTTATGGGAGGTGGAGTTCTTCTGGTTTCTGCACCACATACAAAGTCTGTAATATTGAAATTCTGTTTCTTATTGGATTGTCTACACCTTTCTTCGTACTTTTTTTTTTCTTTCTTAACGCTTCTTTGTTTTGTGAAAATTTCAGGTTATTATATTATCAGAACTGGTTCAGTCCGGCAAGGCTTCTGATAAGCTGTTGTATATGTACTTCCCTTTTCTGGGGTTAGGTGTTTTGGCCATACTGCGTGGGCTGCTGCCACCATCCAGCACAACTAGTTCGAGGATTGGCAAGAGACCTACATTGGGTAGGAAAAAGAAGGCTTGAGATACAACTGACTGACTGACTGAGATTTTGTAAGTGTGTGTTATATTTGTCACTTTATGACATCAAGTCCACAATGTATCGGTGAAACTCTTCTAATGGATGATTGGAAGGTTTTGACAATTGTGTTTCAGTTTAGTGCATGCTTGATGTTCACCTCTTTAGTGATTGTATGTGAATACTCTGGTGAGTTTCTCCCTTCATCTCTTACTTCAACAAAGAGGTCAGAGTGTTTATTAGACATTGCTGGTTTTACCTTCTGTTGGGAATATCTCTGTTCTGCGCATATTTTTGTTTGAGCTGGCTGCTTGCTGCTGCTGCTCTCTTGTTAGTAATTTATCAAATTTTGGGGGTGAGGTAAAATAGAGATATAACATATAACTATCTCTTAATGACGTCTTAAATCTCGTATCCAGATTGATTTCATACTTGTATACCAAGGAGGATTAACTTAGGAACTCTTTGTCAGTAGTGGACGTGCCCTGCTGCTGTGATTATGAAGGAGCTTTATGTAAGAGTTTTCTTGGTGACCTGAAGTATCCATGTCTTGAAGGGGACCTGTTTTTAACATGCTTGTTAAAAGCAGGTGAAAAGTTCATGTCCAACATGGTTAAAAGTTTTCAATTTGAATGACTTTCACTTTTACTTGCAAGATAGCAAGTGCAGAAAGGACATCATTTGATGAGAATATTAATTGCAACCACATCTCCAAGGACTCACTGCCATGAAGCAAAGAAAAGCACAGATGGATGGCATTATGTATTGCTGTACCAGAACCCAGCAGCTTGCTTTCCTGTCTGTGGATCTATGGCATATATTAATACCTTATGAAATCTCGATATGCAATCAGAACAAAAAAAAATGAAGAGTGGTTGGGTGGGAACTCCATCTTTCCCATTTATTCCAACTTCTACTTTTCTACTCTTTTCATTTGCATGCACCAACTAGGAGAGCACAATTAGTAGAAACTCATTGAGCGTTTCAGAAAGATTCGCATTTCCAGTTGTTATGGGTTCTCAAAGTGCTCACCCTAAAACAGCCTTTTTATGACTTTGGGATAATTTTAGCTCGACAAGACATGTACCAGCCAATTTGCTAGCAATCTGTGAGATCCCTTGACAGCAATTTTATTTTACTTTATTATGTTATATAATTGATTTTTGGGAGACTTTGGAAAAATACAAAAGAGAGAGAAATTTTGTAAAATAAGCAAAAGTAGACAAAATTACCCTTATTTAATTTTGGATTTCTTAAGGAATCCTTTACATTTGCATGTCTTTGATTTGAAAGTTAAGAGGTTTTTCTGTCTTTTTTCAAAAAACTTTGGCTTTTTCTAAAAGTGAAATTTTTTTTTTGGCTAAAACCTAAATTTACTTT